TGATAAAAGGTGCAGCCACACAGTCAAACCCAGGAGAGACACGCCCATTCATCTTCCCAATCTGCGCAGCTACCAACCCTTGTATCGCCTGCTCAGAAGGCACAGCAACTGCATCCGGCTCAGGCATCCAATTATTTTGTGTACTCTGTCTTAGAAGCCTCAACATTACTTGCCTTTTTTAGGGCGGAGCCCGCCCTTCAGGTCAAGTCCCCTTGCCCAGCTGAGGTTACGAGAATGCACGGAAGCATTCTATCCGTGCCGAACAAGTGATATATTCAATAATTTCGAGATCCCTTGTAATTGTAACTGCCCCACACCTAGGGAAGCAGCCATGGTGGGCCTGTCTGCAGCGCATTTGCATGCCTATGTGCCTCTTGGCCATCCTCAAAGACGTTCATGAAAATGATGAGCACGTCTTGGTGGATGGCCGCCAGCGAGCTCCTGCACGTCCAAATTCGTTGCTAAAGGAAGGCTGCCCTCTGTCTCTGCTTGGCAGCTAACGTGCGAAGAGCAGTGACGGGTGAGCTTCAAATTACACACACGCTTCATGCAAATGATCTATGTCTTACTTTTTTAAATCGTCCTGATCGGCTTCAGCTCACACTGGACGCTTCGTATGGGGTTGTTGCGAATGGCAACAATTTGCCCGCTTTTACTAAAGGTGGAGCGCAGCAAGCAAGAGCTGAGTCATTTACATATTTTGCATGCTCTTCACTGAGCACATCAACTCCTTTTCCACTTCTGAGGAAAAGGAAAAAGGAGAAGGAAAAGCTACACTATTAGACATCGTCTGATGGTATTCACAAAGGGAATGACTCACTTGCTCAAGGCAAACTCTCACCGGTATCCAGGATCGGACCCCGGACCTCTCGCATTCACTAGGTCCGCGTTTCCCCCATTAGGCTGCAATCAAAAATCCTAAAGAAATCCGGTCTCGTAAGTTTCTGTGATAACCCCTGTATCCACCTCTGAGGATACGTGCTCTGCTTTCTTGGCTTTATGGCACACCAGACAGCTTGAATCTGATTATCAGTAGACAGACAGCCCTCATACTATGCTTGGCTGACTCAGGCATATGTAGACGGATTCCTGCATGCATGTATGCTAGCCAAATTTGGGGGGCTTGATTTATTAAATTAGGGACTGGGATGGACTGCCCTCTGCAACCTGTACATTAGTGCTTATTGAAGCTTACACCCTTGCGCATCCCATCATATTTATTCAAGGATCTGGATGAAGAAGTTATGGGGAATGTGGGTAGGTTTAGGCTTCGTGCCCACTGCTTGAAGGTTGAATCATGTAAATGGCTGGGTGGTTCAAAGATTTGTGACAAATGTGAGTGTGCTGAAGACCAGAAGCATGAAAATAAGAAAGGAAGTCTACGCAACAAGGAAAGATCCAACAATTAGCGCTGGAGCCGAGAGTGAGTTCTACCAAGACCATGTAAAAGAGAGTGAGTCCCACCAAGACAAAGAAAGAGGGAAGCACAAAAGTCAATTCCAGCAAATTCGCCTCACCAAGAAAGAGAGAAGCACAGAAATCTACTCCAGCAAATTGGCCTCCACCTAGGACATCCTTGACACTGCTGTCAAGAGACCCCGTCCAGCACACTCGAGACCCACCCCTTAGCCTCTGAGAAAGCTATCCAAAATTTCAGCAAGGACGATAAACATGCTCCCTTCTATTGTAAGTGCATTGAAATGTGTGAGCTGCACCAAAAGTTTAAGGTCCTTGGTTTATTGGTGTGTTCCGCCATTACATGCTTTTGCCCCCAAATACCTACTTCCTTCCTTTCTTGCCTGCTTTTAAACTATGACTTTTTCCCTGAGATCAATGCTTTTCTATATCAAGACCCATTCAGATTTTTTAATTTTTGGCAGAATTGGTTTCAAATTTTGATGCTGGTCGAAAATGTTTCACCAGGAGCCAATCAGCCGGTGTCTCGGGCTGATAGGCCACCCCTTGTTAACCCTAAAACTCTTACATCCTTATTGAAGCGTTTTCTTTGGGGCATACTACGCCTAGCTGGCCCAAACTACACGAATGTGGTGTTTTTTCAGAGGGGGTAAGCTGGCCAATTTGCCAGACATGCTCTTTCTCCTTATTATTTCTCAAATCTGACCATGCCAACCATTGTTATTTATATAAATATTATATTTGGCAAAAAAATGGAAAAATTCGGAGGACCCCAGATCACTCGCCTGGCCTCAGATCACCCCAAATTGGCCTACAACTCCACCCTGGGGTCATTTTTCACTTCCAAAAATTTATGTTTATACCCCCATATATACTGCTAACATCCTGCATATTCAAAAAACAGGAAAGGATGGGGGTCATTTTTTGGCCTTCTTGGCACCCCTTGTGCTGGATTTTCTCAAAGGGAAATGGCTGAAATTCTGTATCTGGCCAACCACTGGATCTTTTCACTTCATTCTTTTTGCAATAATATTCATTTGGTACAAGGACTCTAAATCACCAAAAATCACCTAATTTGGCGCAGTGGGTGGTCAGTTATGGAGATCGGCTGGTGAAAACTAGGGTTCACGCCGCGGCTGATTAGGCACGTGTCCCGTAACGGGCACCTCTTAAACTCTAGTGCTACGGAAATACGGCTTTACAAGGAGACCAGGCTTGAAAGGTGCCCATTACGGGACACACACGCAAAGGAGCATGCAACAAATGCCTGGTTTTGGGCCTTAGCTTCCCCCTTCTGGTGTTTTGTATTGACTTTGACATTTCGACCAGTCTCGAGCAGCCGTTGGTAATTCCAACGCTTCGCTAACCTGCAATAGCACAGCTTTTGTGAAGGTACTCAGAGCAGATGTTGGCATGGGTAGTATTTCTCGGGAATGTTGGGCATGAGAGTTCCTATCTGCATTTGCTGGATTGCATCGGCGTGACTGGTGTGCAGGTGGACAACATGCGTGCAGAAAATGAGGTTTACGCTGTTGTGGTATACTGGTATTTTACAAACAGAGCAGGAGGGTAAAAAAAAAAGTAGTGGAACACCCGTCAAAAAACTGGGTGGGACCCCCTGACCCCCCTCCCCCCCCCAAACCCCCCTTCCAGTGCCCCAATCCGGACAAAAAGGGTACCAATCTGCTCCTCTTTTACATCTGCATCCATCTGCACACTCAGCGCAATGAATGGTTGAGTTGAAGCAGAGTTATGGGGCAAAAACTGAGCAGGAGACGCCCATGCATACCTGCCCTTCCAGGCACCCACAACTGGCTTGCAACTTCACAAACAGCCCTCCTAACTTCACCATGCAATAATGCATCTTACATTGTCTCTATCCTGGAAGTTTGGATTGGTTTGCTGCACCTTGGCGTTTACACTCCCTGCTACCCACACCCTTGCGCGCATGGCACTGGCTCCCAGTCATCCGCACAGACCCACCCTTTTACCCAATTTGCATAAAAAGGGTGCCAATCAACAGTTCTTGAGCTCAAGAGTCCAGTGATATATTTACAATTCTGTAGAAGTGATTCAGTAACATTTTTGGAGGGGGGGTCCCCAAAAACTCGGAACCCCCCATACCCCCCCCACCCCCCCCCGACCCCCTCCGATTGGACTCATATGTATACCAATCGATAGCTCTCGATCCCAGAATTCCGAATATTTAGGTTTTAGCAGGGCGGACACGGGTGTTCCAAAAGTTATGCTTCTTGCAGCCTCCTGAACAGAGGCTAAATAATTATTATAAGAGAGCGTCAACAGGAAGACTCAACCAAGGTATGTCTCCAACTGTCAAATGACTCTGCACCCTGCCAATATTAACAAATGTGGGCTATCCTTTACAGTGCGCTTGCCTTTTGGCCGCGTGTATTAAGGAAGCCCCGATCACAAAGATTCAACCACAAGGATTCCTCGCTGACGACTTCCATGCTTTTATTAGAAAGCCATAACATGGCGGCAGTTGAGCTGCTTTGGTGACTCCTGGCAAATTGTAATGAATTATTTCGAGGTGGATTTGGCAAAAAAAAGAAGTTGTGGAGTGCAAGGCCATCAGCTTGCCATTTGCCTTCCTGACTGCTTAACTGCGCGCTTGGCTCTAGCGCCCCCTTTATTTGTGAGTCTCTTTCTTTTGCAAATTGGCAGCAGTTGTGCTTTTTTTTTTTCGTGGGTCCAAATCCTGGTGAGGGCGCTCCGGTATAAACTAAGGTGTCTCCTCCAGGTTGATTGGTGGGGTCGCTCCGGTACAGGCTGGAGTGTCCTTTCCTTAGTACATGCTCTGAGACCCTTGCGGTAAAGCATAGAGATTCTAAATTTCGAATTTAAGGGGTTACTAGTGAAATCACAATGATGGACGCGTTTTCAGGTGTGCTTGTTGGTCAGCAAACCCTGTAGATCCATGACCAGTTCACACCCCTTCATTTCAGCACTTGGATTCAAATGGATAACATTATGCGTCACTTTGCACCCTGCTCAGGTCTGGTTTTGCACACCTAACCGTACCATCATGACCTAAGCGTACCTTCATACATCGCTTTTTAAACATTCCCCTGAGAAAACCCGTTCTGCTTTACGCACCCCTTGAAAAGAGATACTGCATAGACCCGTCACCAGTACGCACCCCTTATTTTCAGCAATTTAATTTCCCCATTCTGCACCAGTTTGCACCCCCCCCCAAAACCCCAGTATTTCCCATTGCAGCCCTTGAAAAAAGATACATAATGCATATTGATCATGCGTGTGTATGGTATGTGATGTGTAATAGTCACGGGCCAGAATGGTAGCAATCGGTACCCCTGCGGAGGTGTACTTATCTATTTTTGTTGGATTGCATTACCTTATCCTTGGCAAACTAGTCCAGTTTTGGACCAAGGCCCTTGGCAAGGGTTGTGTTTTACCCTTTGAGGCTCTAGGTGCCGAGGGTGGCTCCAGCCAAATAATCCTTGGCAGAAGCTCCTTCCAAAATTTCGTATTCCCTTTCACTTCACTTCCCCATGAGGCAAAGGGAGCACACGTGAGAAAGAATGAAATTCAGAAAAGTTAGATGACGAGGACGGGATTCGAACCCGCGCCCCGAAGGACTGACGTACATTTTATATTTCCTTAAGCCAGCGTGTTAGACCGCTCCACCACCTCGTCAAGTCACGCATAACATCCAATAAAGTAAAAGTATATAAATTATAATTTTAGCAACGTGTCCAATCCCCCGATGCTAGTCAGCCTTCGTTCGCCTGCCTGGCTGCTCTCTGCTCGCTTGACTTCAGCTCCACGCTAACTCAACTCTGTGTGAGTCTGTTTTGTCTCTGTTGTCCTCTCTTGCTTCCAGTGGCCTTGTCTTTTTTCTGGGCTTGTGTCCTTCTTAGTCTGAATAGAAGTGCTCCGCGGGCCCAAATTTCACTTTCAATTTTTTTAGGTCCTCCGTTTCCCTTTCACCGCGGACACCCTGTTTCCTCCATACGATTCACTGCAACCCCCTCGTTTTCGGCCATCCGCTATAAATGGTTGTGCTTTAAATAACAATATTAACACTGTGTTTTGAGGCTTCCGTTTCCCTTTCACTGCGGACACCCCATCTCCTCTTCGGCCATCCGCTATGAAAGAAACACCATAATTTGTTTTAAACAATATGCAACGTGTACGATATGTATGATTGCGCAAAATCTCGACCTAATGCTCCATGCTCCTCGTCGGTCGCCGAATCGTCCTCTGAGAGGTAGGAATGGACCGGCACGAATCCATGCTGTTTGAAGAGGAGCGAAAAGGACCGCACTCCACCCTTGTATGCCCTCCATGCGCACGGACAGCCACAGAATCTGACCGGCACCGTCCTCCACGAAACTCAAGATTCTTGTAAAAACCAGGCTTCGGTTGATTCTGGGACATTACAAATTTCTGGTTAGAAATTTGGGTACAGTCCTCCTTCTGCTGCTTGCTTTGGGTGGAGCTTATGGTGTTGTTTCCTGCTTGAGTTAAGTTTCCTTCCTGCAACTGCTCTCCCGCGTGTCTTTGACAGCTTGGCCTGGCCTTGTCCTTTTTTCCGTGGGTTTTCAGTAGGGCTGGTCCTTTTCTTGAGTTGTGTTTCAGCGTCTCTTGTTCTCGCTCTTTCTTGCGGCTCTTCTTCTGCTGTCAGGTGCTGGGGGCCGCTCATGTAATAGCAAAAAGCAAACCAATTCCTATGCCACTGAGTCTGGCTACACCCTTGATCATTGGGAAGTCGCTTGCTTTTCGTGCGATACTGGTTCCTGCCGCTCGGACCAACCAACTCCTGCGGCGTTGTCCTGAATGTCCATCGCTAGACGTCTGCCTGTCCTCCTTGGTGCCTTCATCACCTTCCGGCGCATCACACAAGGGCGACGGTAAATTCCTGAAAATGTTCTTCCCCACCTATATTTTCCGAATTTGACCAGGCCAACGATTACAATATAAATAAAAAACACTCACCAAAAAATGATGAAAATTGGTTGACCCCAGATCACTTTCCTGGCCTCAGATCACCCTCAAATGGCCCACAGCTCCATCCTAGAGCCATTTTTCACTTCCAAAGTTCGTACTCGTAACCCCCATATGTTATGCTAACATCTTGCATATCCAAAACTTATGAAAGGAGGTCAAACATTGACCTTTTGGGCACCCCATGAGCCGCAATTTCTCTGGAAATGGCTCAAATTCTGTATCTCGCCAACCACTGGTTCTTTTTACCCCATTTCTTTTGCTATGATATCCTTTTGATACAAGGACTATAAATTACTAAAAAGGATTCAATTTGGTCTAGTGGGTGGTCAGAAGTGAAGATTCGGTGATGAAAAATAGGGTTCACGCCAAGCCTTGCAAGGCATCAGTTCCCAAATCTGGGACTGTTTAGTTCTGCAGGAACTCTAGTTCTATATTTCACAAACCAAGCTTAAGTATCGATTCGGGAATACCTTTGCAATGTTCATTCTATAAACGCCCACTTTTCAGGGGGGAGTTGTCCAACTGATGAAAAGAAAAATTACGCAGGCAGAGAAACTCCCCCTACATCAATTAAGGAAAAGGAGACACATTGGCTCAAAAAAGAGCCGTGTGCCTCCTCCACCACAAGGCATGAAAAAGAGAATGCTAATGCGGATCTGGAGGGTTACTAGGAGCACCTAGCTCTAGAGCCTGGCTGTGGGAAGTATTCTTGTTTTCAATAGCGCGGCGGATGGTGACTAGTTTGTGGGCATATTGAACAGAATGGGCATGAAGTTGTCGAGCAAGCTTCATGGCACGCTGGTGATCCAAACCTAGATGTTTAAACTTTGAGGGACCACACTTTCCCAGGAAAGGCTAAATTTCCACCAAGGACTAAATGTTCGGGTGGGTTGGGGTCACATGGTCCCTGAACTCAGCCGCACACAGCCCCTACCCCTAACCCTAACCTAACCTAACCTAATCTAAAAAAACCTAATCCTATCCTAAACCTACCCTAACCTAAGAGAGGGGCACACAGACCCCTAAAATGGGGTGAACTCAGACCCTAACTCAGATCACATGGGTCAAATACACCCGAACATTTTGCGTTTGGCAAATTTCCTTGGGAATCAGGCTTGAGGCCAAACCCAAAAAATTGGATTGCATTACTTTGATTTTAATACCAAACAAGCTACATCAGCCCCCTGGATGTGTGTCCCCAAGCTTTGGGAGAACTAGGAAAGCAGCAACTTTGAGGGGCCTAGCAGCTCCTCCCCAGCGCTCAGCATGGCAGTTCACAGCACCTTCGCTGGTGCTGACATCCAAGATCAAATAGCGGGCGGAGAGGTTGTCAATTGGGTCCTCTCCAGACCTCTCTGCTTTTGCATGCAATTGTGGGGCCATGGACCAACAAGCGTTAAGGGCCTTTCAAACCCCAGGTAGGTGGTATGGGGATGGTGGTGGTGGGGGGGGGGGGGGGGGGGGGGGGGGCAAGCAAACCTTCTGTAATGTTCCCAGTGGGTGTTCAGTACCCAAACACTCGCTGCTGCAATTTGGGCACAAGCAGGGCCTCTCTCGGAAGTAGCATCTGCTAGGGTTAACCGAGACGCTCGAGTTGTGGGCATGCTTTATCCTCCTTAACTATGAAAAGGATGGTTGTCCAACATTTGCACACTCAAGGCACGGCTTGCTTTCCCAAATTCAGAAAAGCTAGTTTTTGATGAACAGAGTTTTGATGAACAAGGACCTGAACCACATCCATATGCAACTAAAAAGCCAAAGTAGGCCTTTCCTGCAAACAAGTAACCAAGTAACCACTCAGAGACAGGTTTGAATGGTCTGGCAATACAAAATCATTTTTAACATAGGACTGGGGGCCTGACATAGAACAAAGCTGATGGTTTCATCTTGTGTAACAGGATGTCCAGGCTACCTTGCCGCCTCATTTTGCACCATAAAACTTTTCATGAAGTCAAAAATGGGATTGGAGCAACTTGGTCTGGGGGTGAACACCACTACATATGAATTACTAGCATCCTGCATATTCAAAAGTGGGAATGAAGGAGGTCAGAATTTGACCTTTTTGGCACCCCTAGTGCTGGATCTCCTCTAAGGGAAATGGCTGCCCAACCACTGGGTCTTTTCACTCCAATTTTTTGTAATGGTGTTTTTTTGGTTCAAGGACACCAAATCATTAAAAATCACCCAATCTGGTACAGTGGCTGGTCAGATGTGGGCAGCTGGTTGCCAAAAACCAGGGTTCACGCCACGGCCGATTAAGAGGGTGCCCCCTCATTTGCAATTCCAAAGCTTGGTGATACACACAACCATTTGATGCTAAGTTCGAAGATTGCAACCTAGGGGGCCTATGCTCAATGAATATTTCAAAAGTGCCCTTTTTTGAGGCTTTCGTCGCCCACCTCTGATAAAATACTTGGCCTTACTTTGTCCATTTTCCGTGGGCTCTCAGTAGGGCTGGTTCTTTTCTTGAATTGTGTTTCAGCAGCTCTTGTTCTCGCTCTTTCTAGCGGCTCTTCTTTTTGTGCTGTCAGGTCCCTGCTGGGGGCCTCTTATGCAATAGCAAAACAAGTTGGGTGTGGTCCTCCGGGTCACAAAAAAAAGGGCGGAGCCCCCCTTCCCCCTCCACAATTGTGTGTGTGTGTGTGTGTGTGTGTGTGTGTGTGTGTGTGTGTGTGTGTGTGTGTGTGT